TCCTGATTTCTAACATTGGCTGTTTCTAATCAGCTGGCAACACAAATAGGTTCCCAAGAGAGTAGTCACCGGTCCGTATCCCTCCGCTCCTTGTTTATGCTCCGCGCATTGAGAAAGTAGTTCAGTATATTTTCTCGATTTTCAGTGAATTCCGTGCCTTAAAAAAATGTTTTAACGGCATTTTCTTGTTTATTAAAATCATAGGAATGGTTTAAAATCGTTTAAAAGACAAGTATAGAAAGTTCAGAAATACCTTATGATTCTCTTGTTTACATTTTTCTTGTAAACAAAAAAACTGTCATAGCTACTTTAGTCCCATAAGCCCAATGTTAAAAATTTTAAATTTTAAATTCGTTTTAAATTGCATTAGCATTATCTAATTGAAATTTGTTTGTTTACAAACCATCTCATTATTAGTCTAAGTAGTCTTGTTAAGTTTGGCTGAAATGTGTTCAGCCGTTATTGAGTGATGGTGTTATATTGTTTGCATTGAAGTTGATCCAAAAGAGCTTCGCTCGCTTCGCTCGCTCCGCTCAAATATTAGTTTATCAAGGTAGCTTTGGTTTTTTGGTTAAAGTTGATAAAAAGGCTTCCCTGATTGAAATACAGTATTGGAAATTGTCTTCGTGAAATAGGAAAAGGTAAAAAATGGTGTGTTGAAATAAACTTAGTTCTTGGTCAAAACCGCTAAATTAGCATTCCTAACCCTACCCAGTTATTATTACTAAGTCTATGCTCATTTTGTAAAGGTTTAACAAAAGCCTTAAGTAAAGGCATCCGGTTGACAGAACTTAACCCTAAATTTGTTTCTGATCAGCATTTAAGAAAACCACTATTAGCCTAGTGTAAGTATATGTGGTGGTATCCTCCTAAAGGTGCGATTGATTTACACATTCTACCAAAAAAGAGCCTATTCAACGTCTAATTACTAACTATTTTGCGACTGGTTAGGGTTCCATTACCCAGTTATCGAAACTAATCACGACATTAATATTTTTGGTTAGTTTTAAGAAACGGAAATTACCTCTATGTTCTACTGTTAAATATATAGGTTCTCCCTTTACTGCCGTGCATGCTAGGCTATATTATTTGAACCTTTTTTTGCTTGGATCAACAAAGCACTTAAGTACTTAATGAACAAATACCTGTAAGAACCTACTTCATCTTTATTCCCAAATTGTTTTCTAAGAGTAAACCTTGAGGTTATTCCACTTCATACAAAATAATGATTAAACACTACAATAAATGTCAATATAAATGTTAGTAAATTTACAAAAAAGTGTGGAATAAATCTTAAACATATGTTTTGAAATCAAAACAAAAAGAAGATCTTCATTTAATCTGGAATTGTTTCGTTAATCTTGAAAACAATTTATTTCGACTTTGACATAACTAAAATGTCTTGATTATTATGGGTTACGTTATCCCTTTATATAGTTGGTTTTATATAGTATAAATTACATTGCGGAATTGACTGGCAAATGAGTAATCCAAATGTAATATTGCTTAGTTTCTTAATGATAAATCACAATCAGCTGTATTATAGTAAACAAAAATCAGCAGTAAATGGCTTCTAATGCTATTCTTATGGAGAACATTTTACGTTATATCTCGTTTTTTGGTAACTTTATGGGAATTTCACTATTTTTCCCGCCGTCACGGGGTTGAGACCTTTAATTTGAGCCCTCCCCCGTCATTCTACGATTTTGCCGCAAAGAATCGGCTTACGTAATTAATATATACATAGATTGTTTGCTTAAATATAGAATTTTGAATGAAAGGAAAGAATAAAAAAAATTTAATAAAAAAATGTTAACATTAACATTTAACATTAAAAATTTAAATTGATTTATTTATAATTCTCTAATTAAATCCCATCTCCTTCTCCACGCCTCTCTCATATCGTTTTATTTGTTAATTTACGCCAATCCCTACCCTTTATTAATACCCACACTACTCCCACACATATACAGTAATGGAGTAATGTCCATGTACGTGTTCTTCCCAATTTATGTTTCGTTTTCCAAACCAATACTCCCTTATATTACCTAAAAATAGGGCATATATAAACAAAATGATAAACTGTTTCATATTATTCTCAAGAATTGCACAAACTACAAACGAGATTTTTATTCGTCATCCATGGTTTGTGGTTAAAATCAACAAAATCTTCTCGGGACTGAATTCTGTCAGAGCCTTTGAATTCAAGGGTTGGTTGATAATTGTGATCGATGTCCATAACAATTAAAGATAGTTAATTATTACTTTAAAAAGTTCCCTATTAAGTATTACTAGAGATCGTCCAGTGGTTCAAGGCTCAACCAAAAATTGTCGATGTACACTCTCTATTTTCACCCCACACTCCAAATAAAACACGTGATTGGAATTTCCTTAATTTATTTTGATGTTCTGTTTATATTTCGTCACCAGCATGGCAACCCATAAGGCTCATGTAAATTTTAAAATGTATTTTCTTGCTTATTTTTGAGCCAATTTTATTTTATAAAATAATCCTGCATATCTACAGGAAAATATATTTCTAACAGTATGCGTAGATTTACCATGCGATGCTCACGAGCTGAGAAAAAGGTTTTAAAGAAACATGCTTGCCTATTAATATATAGATTGTCTAGACAGTGAATTCCGTGTTTATTACAAACTAAGGTTTAATTAACTGTTCATATAAAAGCTTTAACTAGACCACGTTAGTCTAATTATGCAGTAATATTGTTACATTATAATAAACCGTGATCTTTTGAACGCATTTAGTTTATTTTAAGTAGTTACTTCCATTGGATGTTTCTATGAGAAAATATATAAAAAACAGTTTATGTAATTTTAAGAGTGTTTGAAATTCATTATGTAGCTCCTGGACCTTAAGTTTAACTAAGTATAGTTCGGCCGCTTAGAAAGCGACCTCCTCTAGCATTGGTTTAGCATTAGCACGCAGGTCGTTTTCTATGCGGCCGAACTATAGTAGGTACCTTATAATAGTATATTTTTTGGGTATCTTCGTTTGTTTATCTTAAACGATTTGCATGGGAGTAGACACGCTGTTCCGTGGTTATCTAAGAAATGTAAAGCATTTTAGTTTGCATAAACAGTTTACAAGAACCGGTTTGGTTATTTTCAAGCTAAATATTCAAGTTTGTTTGTATTTGGTAGGTGTAAAACATTCAACCAGTGAATGATTTGTAGAGAATGAAATTAAATGGAGATTATAAGAGGAGAAAAAAAATGAACTCACTTTTGGGATAGGAGAACAAGCACTGTTTTATTTACTTTTTGATACACAACATGTGTTAGCAATAGAGAATAATTTAATTTGATTAAGAACACATGTTAGTTGCAAGGAAAAGAGATGTACATTAAATAAAACATAGAGTGTTAAATAATATGAATGGTTAAAGTTTACTGAACATACCGGGGGCCTTGAATCCCCAATGGATTCAACAAAAACAGTTCACGAATCCACAGTTGGCAGGGGAAACACTTTGTGGGCAGATCTTCTGAGGTTGCCACTTGATGTTTTTAAGTCTATCACTCGCACAACCCCATCAGCCCCTGGATGAACTGCTGTAATTCGAGCGAGAGGCCACGAGAGAGGTGGTGAGTCCATATGTACCAAAACAAGGTCACCCACTTCAAGATTTTTTGATTTCCGAGTCCACTTGGTACGTTGTTGCAAGTTGTTTAAGTATTCTAGGTGCCATCTATGCCATATGCGTTGATGAAATGCTTGAACTAGCTGCCATTGCTTGAGACGGTTTTCAGGAACTGTCAGGAGATTAGGTTCAGGTACTGCTGTGAGGGGTGCACCAATCAGGAAGTGTCCGGGAGTCAGTGCTGCGAGATCCGAAGGATCATTTGAAAGAGGTGTCAGTGGTCGGGAATTGAGCATTGCTTCGATTTGGGTCAACAATGTGATGAATTCAATGAGTGTTAAGACTGAGTTTCCCATTACTCGACGGAGATGATGTTTCACATTCTTTACAGACGATTCCCACAATCCTCCTTGATGCGGAGCGGCTGGTGGATTAAAATGAAAATTGATGCCTTTAAGTGAAGAGAATCGTTGAATCTTCCGTTTGGAGTCTTGACAATAAAGAGATTTTTCAACAATCTTGCGTAGGGTAGAGTCAGCACCAATGAAGTTGGACCCACAATCCGAGTAAATGTCGGAAGAATGTCCTCTGCGAGATACAAATCGAGTCATTGCAGCAATGAAAGATTCAGTCGTTAGGTCTGTTACTACTTCCAAATGTACAGCTTTCGTGACGAGGCAGATGAAAGTACAAAAGTATGACTTTATGTGTCTCACTGCCTTGAGGTTGAAGATTTTAACAGTAAAAGGCCCTGCATAATCTATGCCGGTGTGGAGGAAAGGTCGAGCAGGAGTTACACGAGACTGAGGGAGATCAGCCATGAGAGGACACACATTTCTAGGTTTGACTTTGAAACATCTGACACATTTATGGATACGAGAGCGTATGGCACAACGGACAGACAGTATCCAAACATGTTTGTAAAGTAATGCTTGAGTAAGCTGAGGGCCTGAATGAAGATTGTAGATATGGTAGTGGTCAATGAGGAGATTTACCACATGATGCTTTTTTGGCAGAATAATGGGATGTCGAGCATCTTCAGGAAGTGATGTCTGAGAAAGACGTCCTCCAACACGCAATAATCCAAATGAGTCAATGAAAGGTGAAAGACGTTGTAAACGAGTGGAGCAAAATGATTTCCGTTTGAGGCAGTTGATTTCTTCTGTGAATACTTCTTTTTGTACAAGTTTAAAAATGTGATATTTTGTGTCTTTCAGTTCCTGTGTTGAGATGAAACCTTGGCGTTTTTCAGAACCTTTACAGTTGTGTATGAAACGAAGGACGTAAGCAAAAATCCTAAGAAGTCGTTCCCATGAAGAATATTTAATGAGAAGATTGGTCAGCGTAGATTCAGTGGTAGTTGACACAAGTACAGTTAGAGGAGTGTGTTTTACTTCATCTAATGTTGAGATCTGTAGGTGAAAAAGTTACATCAGGCCAGTTTGAAGGGGGAAGAGAAAGCCAAGAAGGCCCTGACCACCAAAGGGGGTGAGACACAAGCTCAGTGGCTAGAATACATCTTGAAGCACAATCAGCAGGGTTTTCCTTGCTAGGGATGTAACGCCAACAGTGATAGGGGACAAGTTCTTGTGTTTGGGCGACTCTGTTAGCCACGAATGTTTTCAGCCTGTAAGATGGAGTTTGAAGCCATGTCAAGGTTACTGAAGAATCACACCACAAATAACATTGGTTGAGTGAAATTAAGGGTTTGAATGAAGAACAACAGAAGTTTACGAGTTGAGCTAATAAGTGGGCAGCGCAGAGTTCTAATCGTGGAAGAGTCACCTTCTTGAGAGGGGCGACTCTAGTTTTAGATAAAACCATACGTGTAGTCACTTCTCCGTTGGGTTGGGAACATCGTACATAGACAACAGCTGAAAACCCACGTTCAGAGGCGTCTGAGAAGCCGTGAAGTTCAACACTAGAATTTGGAGAGATTTTCAATGCTCTAGGGATCTGAATGTCTGCAAGTGCTGGTATCGCTGAGATAAAGTTACTCCAAATTGCACTAAGTTCTGGAGTGAGAGGTTCATCCCATTGTAGACCGGTCGTCCAGAGAAGTTGAATAAAACATTTCGCTGTCATAGTACATGGGCTAAGAAATCCACAAGGATCGTATATTTTAGCGACTAGACTGAGAACGTGACGTTTAGTTAGTGTTTTTGGCGGTAGGTTGAGATGAAATGAAAAATTGTCCGAGTCTGGAGACCAGTGTAGGCCAAGAATTGAGAAATGGGGATCAGGTGTATTTTCAAGAAAGACTGGAGAGTCTTTATGAGTGTCTGGAAGAGACTGAAGAAGCTCGGGAGAATTTGAAGTCCATTTTCGAAGTTCAAAGTGTCCACGGTTGAGTAGTTGAATGAGTTGATTTTGAAGGTTCTTTGCTTCATCTACCGTGTCTGCTCCAGTTACAATGTCGTCTACGTAAGTCTGAGTGCGCAAGACATTTGCTGCTTCAGGGAAGTCTTTACCTTCGTCTTCAGCTAACTGGTGGAGGGTACGAATCGCTAAGTAGGGTGAGCTATTTACTCCAAAAGTCACTCGAGTGAGTTTGTATGTGGATATATCTTCAGAGGGATTGTCACGCCACAAGACGAGTTGGAACAGTTGATCGGAAGGTTTGATTAAGATTTGAAGATACATTTGGCGAATATCGCAAGTGAAAACGATATTGTGTATTCTGAAATGTAGCAATATATCACAAATGTTGGTCTGTAATTTAGGGCCGGTCATGAGAGAATCATTGAGGGAAATTCAGCTGGTTTTGCAGCTTGCATCATAAACGATTCGGAGTTTAGTTGAGGTACTGGATGGTTTCACAACTGCATGGTGTGGCAAGAAATAGTGAGGAGAGTTGATATCTAGATGAGGTAGTTTTACCATATGACCTTGAGAGATGTGTTCATTTATATTGTCAGAGTAAGATTTATACAAATCAGGAGAGAGTGTAAAACGTCGTTCAAGTGAGTGAAAACGTCGTTCTGCGATGAGTTTGGAAGATCCTAAAGGTGGATGATTTTCTTTAAATGGTAGCTGAACTAAGTAACGGCCATTTTCGTCCCTAGAGTGGGTAGCTTTAAACAGATCTTCACACTGTTGCTCTTCAACCGATATCTTTGAGGGTACAGATAATTCCTCTAATTTCCAAAATTTCTGTAGAGAGTTATGCAATTCGTTGTCAACCGTTGAGAGCAGAGAGATGGATGGAGTGTTGGCAGGCTGGGAATCGGTTGAACAAGGTGCATTCCCCATAACAACAAAGCCAAAGTGAGTTCCCATCATGTTAGGCATGTTAGGGCCGAGAGAATAGTTTTCATTCGTTAAAAGAAGAGGGAAGAGAGAAGCTCCAATCAGCATGTCAATGGGCCCTGATAAGTGGAAGCTGGGATCAGCAAGGGGGTAAGGTTTTACTTTCAATAGAACTCTTTGTGATATTTGAGATCTAGGGAGATTGACAGATATTTTATCAAGTATGTGCACTTCATGGTTGGATGCAACTAATTTTCCTGCCAGTGTGTTAACAGTGAGGTTCACAATACCCTTTGTGAGAGTTGGAGATTGAGAAAGACCAACTACTTGTAAGTTGGATTTGAAACGAGGTGCATTCAGTAGTTGAGCAGCTTTTTCACTAATAAAATCACACATGCTGCCACTATCAATCAATGCTCTGAACACATGAGAAACGTTATTTTGAGCAGTAACTTTAACCAGTGTTGTGCCTAAAATTACAGTTTTAGGGATTTGATTAGCAGGACTGGCTTCCTGTGAGCAAAGAGGTACGGTAGGTTTTTCATTCGAAACATGAGTGGTTGATGGTTGTGATGATGTAGAACCTTGAGATGTCTTGTCATGTTCAAAATGAAGTAAGGTGTGATGACGTTTGTGGCATTTGAAGCAAGATGCTTTAGACTTACATGTTTTAACATCATGTTTTCCGAGGCAAGAGACACATCTGTTGTTGTCCTTTACGGTTTTAAAACGTTCATTTGAAGAAAGAGAGAGAAAGCTAGGACAAGCATAAACCTTGTGGCCAGTTGATGAGCAGACAAAGCAGGGAAATGAGAAAGGATTTTTTGAGTTGTCTTGATTTGATGGAGTTGGAGTAGAGACCATTGTAACTTTCTGAGCTTGAATGAAAGAGGGCTTGGATGTGAAAGATTTGGGTTTAAAATTTGAATTGTGGTTGTTCGTACTTTGAGCAAACTTGGTATGTAACACAGCGTCTTCCATTTGGTTACACTCTTGATTAAGAAACTTGACTATTTCGACTACTTCTGGTAGAGAATGTGTTTCGCATTTTATATTAATTCTAAAAGCCTCTAGTTGTTTTAGAAGGTCATTGTCTAGTTTTCGTAAGAGTATGGTGGACAACAGAGGGTTAGAGTTAGAAGTAATGTCACAGTCAAGAGCTTTAAGTGCTTCTGTGTGTTCATAAAACAAGTTGAGGAACGTTCTGAGACATTTGTTTGAGGTAGAGGAAATGTCCGGTAGGTCGATCAGTTTGTTGAGGTGAAGTGTAGTTAACCTTCGGGTGTTGTGGTATCTGTCTCTGAGGAGCTGATAGGCAATTGAGTAATTGGCTGAAGTGATACTGAAAGCTTTTACGAGATTTAGTGGTTCATTTTTGAGCACGCTGAGAAGATATTGAAATTTAGTGACGTTTGAAATGCTTTCATTCAGATGGATGCTAGTGTCAAATAAGTTGATGAAACTTACCCACTGTAGAGGAGAACCATCAAACGTGATGAGGTCTAGTTTTGGGAGTCTTACGTGAGCAGATGATGAAGCTGAGATGTCACTAATTCTTGTTGAATCTTTACTTTCTTCTGGAACATCTTGCGGCTGCTGTTGGAGAAGGGCTTCAATCCGAGACTTGGCTTCGACGAATAGCAGTCGCAGTTTGTCTTCAGTGTCACTTACTGCATCCAAATCTAATTCTTCTGATATATGTTCCAAGGCTCTTTCCAGGTAATTTTCATAGGCTTCATGTTTCTTTTCTAACTGGTTCGAGAAGTTGTTTAAAGTTCTGATTTGTATCACTGACAAGATTGAGGGGGAAAGTGTTTCAAGCTCTTGTACAGATTTGAGAATCTTTTCAAAAGAATTTTGTATGAGAAGGGTTGATTTGTTGAAGTTTGAGAGTGAAATTGATCTGGTAGCCATATTGGACAAAACAAATGGAGTGAAACTTTACTAAGAATTAGATAGAGTTTGTGACACTATGAGAGTGGGGAGAAACATAAAGAGATTGAATGATAAAATAAAGATATTTCGATAGCTTGAAAGTGTTCTGAAAATTGAATCCAAAGACTGAAATTCAAAATCCGGCTCGAAGGACCAATGAATGATTTGTAGAGAATGAAATTAAATGGAGATTATAAGAGGAGAAAAAAAAATGAACACACTTTTGGGATAGGAGAACAAGCACTGTTTTATTTACTTTTTGATACACAACATGTGTTAGCAATAGAGAATAATTTAATTTGATTAAGAACACATGTTAGTTGCAAGGAAAAGAGATGTACATTAAATAAAACATAGAGTGTTAAATAATATGAATGGTTAAAGTTTACTGAACAACCAGTTTAAAGATTTCTTTTTAGATAGTTTCCCAGAATATTCCAATTTTTTGTTTCAAAGCGGAAAAGCTTCTAAAGCTTTAGTTTGTTCAAACATTTTCAAGTAGGGTAACCAGGTGCAGAATCCCGATAAGAGAATCTCGTAGCTATAGCTGGGAAAGGTTAGGCTTACGAATAGGTTTGCTGAATATAAATAGTCCAATTTGTACTCAAACCATCTTAGCAGAAAAATGAATGCTTTGTATGGCTCGTGACAAGACTGGTTTTGTATTTTTCATGTTTAAAGATGACAAATTACAGAACAATTAACACGGGTAAATTGTTCATCAAGAAACACATAAGGTTAATTAAGAACTGAGGACAAGAGACACTTAACGTCAAGTTAATTAAACCTTCTTCGTTTCTCCCCGACCTGTTCGTTGAAGACGTCTATTGTTCAAAGGGTCAAGTACTGGTGAGTGAAATACTACTGAAGTTCTGGATTGTTGTAAAATAACATCACTGACTTATATAACATTTAAATTTAATTGTAACCATACAACACTTTATTGCATTACTATTAACGATACAAAGAAACTGACGAACGTGAGTAAGTGTATAGCTCTCTTAACAGCAACGAAGATTAGTATATTAGCACATCAACACTATTAGTATATTATATAAAAATGCTGATTATACATCGAAACACTTAAATTGTTTTGGAGGTAGGTGGAAATCCTTTTTTTTTATTGGCAGGTGTAGAATGCTTCCTCGGTCCGTGGACTCACACCAACCTACCAGGCATACCATTCTTACGGACACTGCGTTAGTGTATTGGGATTGGGACACGCCGAACCTCTATTTACTTAACCTTATCCACATCTGGAGGGTATCCAGTAATATAAGGCCGAGCAAGAACGATCTTTATCGTGTCAATGTTCTGCGACGTGAAGACTACACCGGTCTCCGCTAAATGAGACTCGATTATAGCCGCCTATCCCACGCGAAGAAAGCTGTCCCACAGAAAACTATCTGTCCGTGCCATGGCAGGACAGATAGTTCGAGCTGGCGACTTTTCTCATTTTAAACTTATAGACTTGAAAATGCCGGGGGTCTGAAAATACTGGGTTACGAATAAATAGATCCCGCTGTGCAGCCTTTCCCCCCACAATCGGATAACATATACGGGAAGGTCCAACGTCTCTCGACTCAGCATCCCATTCGCGCTGTTTGCGAACGAAGCTGCGGTCGCGCTCTTCTCTGTCAGATGTATCTCTGTGAACCTCAGTCTTCCGTCGGTAGATTGTCTGTGTGTGTGTGTGATTTTCACATAAATGAGATGGGAACTATCCTGGCCATCACCATCATTGCAGATTTGGATACTTACTACGAAGAACCAAGGATAAAATATAATTTTGACGGGGTAGCCTATTCTACAAGAGACTAATTTCTATATGCTGTTTCTATAAAATAAAATGCGCCGCTAGCCAATACAACAAGGAATATCTACTTAAGTATCCAAGAGTCAATGCTTAAATTTAATTACATGAATATATGAGTTTCATTAAAACACATTACGACATTTGATGGCTCCAAAAAATAATTGGTGTAAGGAGATTCACGACAATCAGGTCTAATTGAAACACACTAAACGGCTAGAATGTAGCCTACTAACTGTTAGTTGTATGAGCAGTGAGGTTAACAACTGGTAGCATACGAGGAGGTTTGTTTGTACCAGCCCAGTGATACCATTTACTGTGTTGTTTCTTGTCCATTGAACAGGAAGTGCTGATAACACAGATACACGTGTGTAATAGCTTCTCCCCAATAGCAATAGACCCCTCTTCCAACAATATTAGGCTGATAACATTCTTATTTGAGTTTTTATGTTAATCGTTTATGATGAATAGTATACGAATTGGGATATTTGTCATAAAAGTTAAAACTATTAAAAGAATTAGTTTACTATAAAAATCATTTTATTTGGTAATGATACCTTATTTTACTTCCATTTTGTGATGGTTTTCTTATTTTTCAGTGTCTAACCTACACTTCTATAAAGAATAAAAGCATCCGATTAAAAATCCCCTTCTGTGAAATGCGTGTAGAATACAAATTATCCAAAACAACTTCAAATGACATCTCAAGTCAAGTTAATTTGATACAGTTGTAAAAGAATTCTTTATATTGCGTATTTAATATGCAATCAGTCTAGAGAAGTATACATTTCAGTTTTTGTTTACTTTGCTTTCTTACATATATTATATATGATAATTTAAATTGTATTTATTCCTTAAATATTGGAAATCTGTACTGTTCAATGTGTACCGAGGGCATGTTTAATTAAATAAAAAGGTATGTATACTCTTTGACTGTTATCAAATATTCAACGGTATGAGTTATATAGATCTGTCACAAAATACAATCGTCATATTCTAACATGGAAAGACTAATGGTTTATATTTTTTTTTTACAACAAAAAGGTGCTTAATATTTGCCTTGAAGTTGGTTACTTTAATCTATTTTATAACCGTGGTCGATTGAGCCGAAAGTATGTAATATGTTCGACACAAAGGCTTTCATTATTTCATTTTGGTCAAGTTTCAAGGCATGTACCGAATGTTATATAGTTAGGGGTTTAGTTTATCTAGATGAATTTCATAAAAGCAGGAGCCTGAGGCAAATGTTAAACAAGTCAGTTTTCAGGCTGATGCGAATCTTTCGCTAGCGCCATATAATATAATACATATTCATGGGGTCTGCTTTCTCCTTTTACACGTTAGGGATTTCCTGCAAACCCCAAAAACACCACCTTTTATCCTTGTATTTTCTAGAGTATTACGGTGGTAAAAATACCATTCAGGTAAGGTTATTTGGTCTATAATTCAAACCATGTATTTATCATGTAATGTTTATATCTAGAGATACATCTCTTATTCTCCTGTTCTCTCACTTTGATGAAGAATGTATTTCCAATTAAATCGAAAATGGTAATTACTTTGTAATAAGTATATTACTATTACTGCCTCAATTATATTCAGCAATATTAATTTAACAGTGATATATTTTGACATTTTAACGGTGACCTGATGTATTTTACCTTCTCTTCCCTATTCATAGTTTGTTTGGAGAAAGTATTATTTTCGTTGAAGTTTACGAGTTTGCGTTTTGGGCTGGAACTATTCAGGGCCCCCTGAATCCAAAAAGTGGTTTTCGAAGTGACATGTGTGTGGGTGTAAGGGGCTAGAAAGTGTATAGAGCTACAGACTACACAATGGGCAGGTTTTGATGACATTTGGTATGTTGAGAATACTAACCCATAGGCTAGTATATCCAACAGTGTTTTTTTAGCTAAAATTATTTAAAGCCTTAGTTTTCCCATAAAATAATGAAAATATGGCATTTTCAACTAGAGTGCTAGAAAGAAAGTTGATTTAAATTTAGTATGCTATAGTATTTTTAACTCCAAACAACATCGTACAATTCCCACTCTGTCAAAATTACGGTTCTAAAGTTATTGCAATTTTGTTAATTTTTACCTATAAAATATAATATTCACTTCCACCGCTTACCCATTTTAAGGGTTGTTGAAAAGCTAATGGGAGAAAGTATGTGCCCGTTTGCTGATACCATTTATTGAATATTTACGAGTAAAACAAAATTAATTAATTAATAAGTTGTATCAAGTAAGTTATACAATATACTATAAGTTTCCCAACTGACAAACAACTGTATAGCACTACTGTACTTGTGTATGAGAGTTACATGAATATTGTCGGCGTTTCAGCACTCACCCGACCGTGTGCCAAATACATGGCCGATTGATTGAAAGAGATAGCGCCTCTGTCTGTGTTAATTCAATTCGTTGACCTTCTTCACATTCATTGTACATTGCAAACTGTAGTGTTGTTTATGATAGCTGTAATTTTATGTTACAACCCTATGTTCCGCAGCAGCAAAAATACCTAAAAATCGTATAAATACTTAAACGTATCTTTAAATTGACTTTGCGAAACGTATTTAATGCAGAGGAGAATTTTACTCTGAAATAACAAATTAATGATGCTGGTATTGAGGAAATCATAGAGTTCAAACGTTATGTTTTACTTATAAAGCATTTGTATTGAAAAAATACGGATTACTGTTAAATGCTATGATGACCAAGTATGATGGTACTATGAGCAGACATGGTAACATAATATTCGTCCATCATGATAATTAAATTATACTGAAATTACAAAACATTCGAGTTTTAGGAATTCGGACTATACGTAGTTCATACTACGATATCTAGCTAGTTGTCCCACAGCTTTATGAAGGACTAGCTGCACCCGCGGGCTTCGCCCCGTTTAACTTCATAAGTAATCGCATGGCTCATTCACGTCCTGGTTGAAGTTCGTTCGCTACGCTCACTCACCTTTTGGTTGGAGCTCGTTCGCTGCGCTCATTTGCCTTCAGGTTAGCTCGTTCGCTACGCTAACTCGCCTCCAGGTTGAAGTTCGTTCGCTACGCTAACTCGCCTCCAGGTTGAAGTTCGTTCGCTACGCTCACTCACCTTTTGGTTGGAAATTAGCTGTTGTCATAAATTAAAAAAATAATAATAGT